TAATTTTTTCATCTTTTCAAGGTGAGAGAGTTGGAAAATGAGGTGGACATAGAGCAAAAGAGAAGCAGCGACTCAGTGAAAGGTATCCGCAAGTACGAGAGGCGTATCAAGGAGCTCACCTACCAGGTCTGCTACAGACACAATGACTCTGTGATAAACATTCAGCAAAACGTTAAAGGTTATGCATTAACAAGCAGTACGTCCTGTGTACTTATTTCACAGACGGAGGAGGACAAAAAGAATCTGAACCGTCTGCAGGACCTGGTGGATAAGCTGCAGCTGAAAGTCAAATCATACAAGAGAACTGCAGAGGAGGCTGTAAGCAAAAATACCACACCTTCATCTACTGACACTTAGTCAATTTTCCTCTTTATGAGTCAGCTCAACTTTCCACTCTTTATAGGAGGAACAGTCCAATACAAATCTGGGCAAGCTGCGCAAGTTACAGCATGAACTCGAGGAAGCAGAGGAGAGGGCCGACATCGCAGAGTCTCAGGTCAACAAGCTGAGAGCAAAGAGCCGTGACACTGGTGCTAAGGTCAGCAATCACTGACTGCAATGCAACTCTTACATTGTAATTACATTTTGGAAAATGATTACTGAACATTTTTTCTTTGTACAGAAAGCACTTGATGAGTGAAGAGGGAAGCCTTTATGGGATCTTCAAGGATGCTGTTTAACTGTAGTATATTAGTTTCTTTGTTCTCCATGCAACATGAATGGAATAAAGAAAATGTGAATGCACCACTTTGTTCAGTTCATGTTCACTTTGTTCACAAGAACTGTATCACTACTGTTATGCCTCACCCTTGTGTGGCCCTCTAGGGTGAGCAAAACTCCACCACTGACCCAAAATAACCACAAAGACACCTTTAAAACAAATCTATGACATTTATTGACAAAAAACAAGCAAACAAGACGATAATAATCCCAGACTGAGAGGCAGCAGGACCAGCAGTCCCCACACCAGAGGCCTCCCTCCTTTGCTGCCGGCACAGGAGCTTTTAACGGCCTCTTCCCCGTGCCAGGTGTGGTGCACCTCATTAGGCAATGCAGCACACCTGGGCAGATCTACAATAGAGGGAAAGGGGACAGCAGCTCAGAACACAAACAGCTGTAACATGACACTACAAAGAAAAAAAGGAAAAGTAGAGGCATGCACTGAGAAGTTGTATCTGTATTAAAAGCTCATGTCGCATTTCCCTAGAATATTATCCAAACCACATGAGGGTTGCTGTTCATGTTTCGACATGAGAAGAGCGGAAGAGTTAAAACCTTTGCACTTTGTTTCTCCGAGACAACACCCTGCACTGCTGGGCTGGAGGCTTGAGCACAGCTGAGAATGGGCACCAACAAAGCAGGCTTAAAATCAAAACAGCTGCAAATGGTTGAGACCACTGATGAGACTTAACACAGCATTTACATGCCCCTCGAATGATCCCATTTCCCATGTTGGGAGGGCATTCTTCCCACTGTGCTTCAAATCACAATGTGGAGACAAAATGGATGCAATTTAGAGGATGTGTTGTATTTTATTGCTCAGAGCATTTAAACAACACATTGATAACAGCTTGAAGCTTTGTATTATAGAGTGATTTTGCGCAAGTACATCCCCTAAAACTACAACAATATTGTTTTACCTGAGTAGTGCTATAAATTGCTTTTTTAACTAGTCTAGGTCAATCTACATCCACATGGACAGCAAGTAACCGCTACAGCCTAACACCACATCACAAATTACATGAGTAAAACATTAACATGCAATTTTATTACCATCAATCAAACATTTACTTTTGTCCTCTAGTTTCCTGCTTATGCGATGTCAACTTAGCAACTCATGTACTTAACTTTTCACAGACTTGTGTTCCAACTTATGGGGGGAATTGTCCCAGTTGGGAACTTATTTTTCCAATTATTCCAACACCACATGAATACAGGGTCAATACTGAAGACTAGATAAAGCTTGGAGTCAGAAGAATCAAACTTACTAGAAAAAGTTGCGTATGATGGGTGTTATCATCTTGTCTGAGCATGCCTGCAAAAATAGGTGCTTACAGTATTTCTTTCATCTTTATTTAACAAGGAAATCCCTTAAGATTAAAATCAATTTTTGAGGGAGCCCCGGCCAAGATATGACACATTACAAGGTTACAAAAAAATGATAAAACAGAGCATGTCAGAAACAGACAAGAGACAACAGATACATTATACAAGAGCCAGCGTTGGTATAATGACCCAAACAGTGTGGAGTTAGTCCTCAGTTATTATGTTATTTTTCTTGGTGCAAATATACACTTTATTATTGTACAAAAAAAGTCAATATGTAAGTGACTGATAGTGACTGACCTGGGGCAGTGTAGTCAAATGTATTATAAAGCAGTTGAGGTGAACTACACTTGGCCACCACTAGATGGTCAAAGAGCTCCACTCTCAAGAATTAATTTCTCTATCTCTATCTAGCTATATTCAGTGTGGTGGTTACTGAGCATGAGTGGGTTAAAAACATGATTCAGAGGTACAAAATCACATCTAAAATTGATTTTGTGGTGTGTAACACTGTTAGTATTTGAAGGATTTGGTTCAAGAATGTGACCAAGTACTACAGTGTAGTTATATAGTTGTATAAGGCTGGAGGGAAGTTAACTATAACTAGTAATGTAATACACACTCACCTGCCACTTTATTAGGTACATCTTGCTAATACCAGGTCTCCTGTTCCACCACATCCCAAAGGTGCTCTATTGGATTGAGATCTGGTGACTGTGGAGGCCATTGGAGTACAGTGAACTCATTGTCATGTTCCAGAAACCAGTTTGAGATGATGTGATCTTTGTGACATGGTGCGTTATCCTGCTGGAAGTAGCCATCAGAAGATGGGTACACTGTGGTCATAAAGGGATGGACACGGTCAGCATCAATACTCAGCTAGGCTGTGGTGTTTAAACCATGCTCAGTTGGTACTAAGGGGCCCAAAGTGTGCCAAGAAAATCTCCCCCACACCATTACACCACCACCAGCCTGAACTGTTAATACAAGGCAGGATGTTGTTGTTTACACCAAAATTCTGACCCTACCATCTGAATGTGGCAGCAGAAATCCAGACTCATCAGACCAAGCAACATTTTTCCAATCTTCTATTGTCCAGTTTTGGTGAGCCTGTGTGAACTGTAACCTCAGTTTCCTGCTGTTAGCTGACAGGAGTGGCACCTGGTGTGGTCTTCTGCTGCTGTAGCCCATCTGCTTCAAGGTTGGATGTGTTGTTGGTTCAGAGATGGTCTTCTGCAGACCTTGGTTGTGACCAGTGGTTATTTGACTTCCTGTTGCCTTTCTATTATCTTGAACCAGTCTGGCCATTCTCCTCTGACCTCTTGCATCAACGGACCATCCTCTGTAAACCCTAGAGATGGTTGTGTGTGAAAATCCCAGTAGATTAGCACTTTCTGAAATACTCAGACCAGCCCGTCTGGCACCAACAACCATGCCACATTCAACGTCACTTAAATCACCTGTCTTCCCCATTCTGATGCTCAGTTTGAACTTAAGCAGGTCATCTTCACATGCCTGAATGCATTGAGTTGCTGCCACGTGATTAGCTGATTAGCTATTTGCATTAACAGGCAGCTGAACAGCTGTACCTAATAAAGTGACCGGTGAGCGTATATTGAAATTACAAAATACACAAAAAATCTGATTAAAAAACAAAGAAGTGAGCAGCTTTTTGCTTTTATCTTGATGATAAAACCTTACTATATAATTTCATAAATGTATTTAGAATACCAATATAATAATTGTGCTTTCATGAATAAATCACTGTTCAAAGCTTTTCTTTTAGGTAACCTATTTTGTTTTACCTTGAACAAGTGGATCTGCTATTTGCCCTGCACAGCCCGAGCATACACGTACAGGACGCATGCACGCACAGGACAATCACCTCCCCGGGCTGTTTGATGCCACCATGACCATGCTGCAACTCTCCGTGAGAAAAATGCTGTTGATTGTTATGTGAAAGCTGATACTGCTGTCGTGTGCATTTCGTAGATTATACTGCAGAGCCAGCAGCGTAACAGGTTTATGTAATGAGATGAACAGAGTGAAGGGGCCTCAAATCTAACTTTTTCATTATTAGGTAAAATACAAATAATTGCATCGTTTAATGGAATTTACACAAGAAAAACATGTCTGTGGGCTTTTCATACATTCAGTATACAAGCCATGTACAACCAGCTATATTCCCAAAGACCAAATGGAGAGCCCTTAAATGTTGCTGCTTGCCGTCCCTCTGTCTTTTATCAGCTTAGTGACACCAACAAGTCTTTACTCTGAGAATCCAGGGCTTTGGATGAGTCTGAGTTTCAGCATAACTAGTGCTGCAGTTTTTCTATGATGACATAGGGAAAAACAGACTCAAAATGACTTCTCTGAAGGCTATGACACATGTTGTGAAGCAGCCATGCCTTACCCAGCTGATGTCATGGCTAATAATATGAAGCAGATTGTATTGTATCAGTGTGAACGTCTCCCTGGTAAAAAAACATACAGAGAAGAGAAAGACAAGAACACAAAGTACACCGCCTGCATATGCACATGCACATGCAGTAACAATTTTACAACTGGTCTAATGGTTGTTTTATCTAACTATCACCACAACAGTTCATGGGTTGCCACAGCTAAGAACAAAAAAGGGAACACCCACTTGAATAATGTGAAACTTTTGAGGCCCCACCTATAGCAGACACTATTTAAAGTAGACAGCATCCAGCAGAGCATTGTGATTAATATGGTCATTGAACACCTCCCTGCAGACTGGAATGAGGCCTCAGGCACCAGATCATCTGTTTGTCATGCCAATACTGAGCATGCCTTTTCACTTATGATGACATGTAAATACTGCCATGGGAAACCATACTGGTTAAGGCTGGATGATTGACATCAAGTAGCAGCAAGAGTGTACCCAGCCAGAACATTAAAACATAAATTCCAGAACATGAGTTACTGTTGGAAATGCATTTATTTATAAAATAGATATATTAAACTTTAGATTACCACTGTGCAAATAAGAGCAAGCACTGTATAAAGCACTTTATAATGTTTGACATCAATTGTTAAGTATAACATACAGTATGATTCAGTGTCATCTCATTTTTCAACAAAACTGTTTAACATCTTTAAAGCAACATTAAGAAAATAAATCTGCTTTATGCTTATAACATTTACCACAATTCATTTCAACCTTCAAACATAGAAGAAAACCGATGATGAGAGCACATTTATCAACATTACCTCAGCACTTAATGTTAAGTAGCAGGATGAAATGCAAACCTTTAGATTAGCCTTATGCCATAATTCTAACTTTAACAGTAGTTTGATCATTAAAACAACTACACAGATGTACATCCCGCACTGATGCCATGCAACTGTCCAACTATAAATGTTAAACAATGCAGATTGTAGATCTGCAGTCATATACTGTACATAAATACATTATAATCTTTAAACCTCAGCTGATATATTTAAGTTACTCATTTAATGTCTTTTTGACATGACAGCGACCAAGCAAATCATGCAGGCAAAAAACTGACTGTATCGACCTAATGTCTCCTTTGTGACAATGAAAGAGCAGAGAACAAAAAAAAAAAAAAGGAGACAAGCAAAGGTAACTTTACATAATAGATTTAAGCCCATCTTTCTTCTCTGATAATGAAGTCGACAATCACAGAGACTTGACAGAAGGAAAGATTTAAAGCGACTGCTTTCACAGTTCTGTCTCTTTATCTTCGTTCTCATTTGTTTCTAAGTAATATTCATCATCTGTCGTCGTGTCTGAGCCGCTGTCTGAAGACTCGTCAAAGGTGCTAAGGCTGGATACATAACCTCTGGAGGGCAGATGCCCTCTGGAGGATTGGCTGTCCACTTGCTGTGGTGCACCTGATGAGCTGGGAAAGTTAGGTGAGGAAGGGCTGGGAGGTTTGGACATGCGTCTAGACACTGGTGATAGGGGAGGTGTTGGAGGGGGCGTCGGAGGACCCTCTGTATCCCATGCAAAGTGACAAATGTTCATGTTAGGGCTCCAAAGGCGGGCTGGTTTTGAGGTTGTGGTAGTTACAGTTGGAGAAGTGGAGACTTCTGAGCTCCAGTTTGCCAAGCGCCTGGTCAGTGATCGAGGAAGAGATCTTGATCTCATTTTACCAGGGTCACTGGGAAAATATAACATTTTACTGTCCTTACTGGGCTGGCAATCATATTCCGTGGTCCAATCAGGATTGACAGACCACTGATCCAAGTCCTCGTCAGTGCCTCCACAAATCAAGGCAGATTCAGAGAGGTCACCCACACTCATGAACCTGGATCCAGTGGAGATGCGACCAGGCCCTGAGGGTCGACTGGATAGTACCGAACTCACAGAAAACGACCTCCCAGGCTCAATGCCATACTTTAAGTCTGCATAGGAGGACGCCAAACTTTCATTGTCCTGTCCTGGACCTGCACTTGGAGGGCCAGTGGATGCCCGGCTTCTTCTTGAACCACCCAGGCTGATTCCCTCTACCGGCTCACACGGTAAGGGGGACTCTCTGCGACGCTGTAGCTTTGGGCTGTAGAAGACACTGTCATCTGTAGCATCCGGCGAGGTAAATGGTGAGACAGGGGACAGAGAGGAGAAGGGGGAGAAGGGGCTCCTGGGGCTGGATGTGGACTTCCTAAACTGATTAGGATAAGCAGCTGAGGGGTTATGGCTCCTACTAGGGCTGGGATCTCTACAAGAGAGGAAGTGGTTTGTTGGTTTATAATCTGTCTCATCTTTGTAAAATTCAAAATTCTGCATTGTTGGGCTGTGGATTGTCAAATGAGGCTGGTTTTGACTTTCCATGTGTTTCGCACAAACATTTTGTTCTTCTTGGTCAGTTTCTAGAGTTGATTCGTCTGACCAAATGGGAAGCTTTTCTCCTGCTATTGTGCCCCCTGTAGCTGGGAGTGGTATGAGAGTGTATCTGTTTTGTGTCCACCTATTCGTATCCTCTGTTCTCTTTTCATCGTCCTTCAGCACCATTCCTTTGTCCTGCTCTTGCTTCTCCAGCTTTTTTGTACTCTCAACAGTGATATCACTGACATCGCTTGATCCACTAACAGAAGGTGTTTGGGAGGCTCGCTTCCATTTCCATGGAAACGATACATCATCCTCAGACCGTCTGGTGCTGAATGTTTGTTTCAGTCTGTTAAGAACTTGGTCCATTTTGTTATTAGTCTTGCTGGCCCTGTCTGACTCTGACCTTGACAAACTGGAGCTTGGTGTGCTGACGCTTTTCTTAAGTGCAAACCGGCTTCTCTTTGGGCTTTGTTCACTATTGCTCTCCACTGAAAAAAATCTGCTTTTACCCAGTACACTCTCCTTCAATCTTCTCTTAGAGTTTTCACCAGGGGGCTGACTCCCTGTTGAGCTGCTACCACTGGAGCTCTGATCTGAATGACAACATGGTTCTCTTGTAGCTTCCTTACACTGCCCTCTGTGTGACTTGTGTTGACTTAACTTGGTCTCCACAGAAACGGGTGTGTTTGCAGTATGTTGCAAAGGTTTAGGTGTGGTGTTCTTCGGGGCCGCTGTAGCTGTATCTACTTTAGATTTAATACTGTAAACCAGTGTCTCAGTTACACATGTTGAGGAGGGGCTTTGTGCCTTGTGAAGTCTGTTGTCAACAAGTAATATTTGACCATTCTGGCAATCTTGGATGCCGTTCTTGCTCTGATTATTGTTGACCTGATCAGCTTCTGAAACCCCACACTTTGTACTTCCTTGGGTGGAAGTTTTGTTTTGGAAAGGCAAAGACAGGGGCTGGGGTAGGCTGACAGGTAACAGAGGGGGTTTGGATGTGGGCATGGGCATGGCCATGGCGGCAACTGGGTCAGTACGCATGGACAGATGTGGGGTGTACTGGGACTGTTGGAAGAGCGGTGATCTGGGTAATATTGTCTTGGTTTCTCCCTGTGTTGACCTGGTAGACATTAGAGTGGAGTAAGGTGGGGAGCTATATCGAAGCTTATAACCACTTGAAAAGTCAGGAGGGAGGGAGAGAGGGGCAGAAGAACGGCACTGAACTGTGCCAGACTCAACTGATAGTGTCCTCTCCTGTCTGGGTGTGCTTAAGTCCCGTCTTCCCTGGTCAAACGTCATAGGGTCACTATGTCTTTGCTTAGACCTCTCCTGCTCTCTGGACACTAAATCAGCAGAGTCGGATGATAAGGATCGATACTTCCCCCCTTTCCCCACCTGTATGCTGGAGCTGTTGGGGCTAGCGGAGCAAAGAGGAGATGTGTCTGTGGTTTGACTGCTTGATCTCAGAACGGAAATGATGGATGGAACTTTGACACTTTGCGGCGACCTGGAGAGAGACAGAGGGCTCGCTGAGACTTGAGATGGCTCTGGCTTCTCCACTGTGGGCTCAGAATCCTTCAAATCCACTGAGTCCTCCCATGTTACTCGTCTCACTCTCTTTCCCTCTACATGGGGGCGCCGTTTCTTTGGGTCGCTTTCTGGGCTGCTTGAGAAAGTCCTTCCCTCTTTAGGACTCGAAGTGTCTGAGTAGTTGGGGCTGGTGATGATAGGGGTGGCAGGAGGGGTTAAGAGAGAAGTAGTGGTGATAGTGGTGGGAAAAGATGCAACAGCAGAAGTGACAGGAGGAGTAAGGAGAGATGGGCTGGGGGCAGTTGTGCCTGTAGGATGGCTGCCAGTGGTAAAAGCAGAGCTGGTGGAAGGAGTGGATATGGGACTGTTGTTTGTTCGAGAGGAGGCATTAACTGTGGAAATCAGGCTGGACGCAGTTTTAGAGTGCACAGGCCTGAGAACTGAGGCATAGCTTCTTTCAAAGCCAAGAGGTGTGGCACTGGCTGTCTTGAATTTGGTTGTTTGGGAAGAAGAGCCAGTGTATGATGACGCATGAATACTGGTCTGTGAAGCAACTGGATGAGACTGGAAGGAGGAACTTGTTTTAGTGTTTGGGGTTAGGGGGAGAGCAGAGGTAGTTTTGGAGGAAAGAGCTTGACTACTCAGAGTGTTGGTGGTAGCAAGAGAAAGAGGTGGTTTGGTAAACTTTTGAGAGTCCTTGTTGTGTGAAGATGCGGGGGTGCTGTTAGTTTTGGATGTACAGTGATTATTGTTGTATCTGCTGCTGCTCTCAGTGGGTGTATTTGAGCTCTTGGGATTTAGCAAAGTAGGTGGTAATTCAGTTACATTTGCTGTAAATGAACTATTATTTACATCATCCCTGCTTAGATCTTTCGGGTGACTCAGTGTTGCTTGCTCTGTAGCTCTGCTAATTTTAGAACTAGACAAAACACCGGGCAAACTGTGTGGCTTTTGTGGTTCTCTGTTATTTAAATTAGAGCCATATTGCTCTCTGACAACCCGTTCTGATTTGTGGTCAGTTCCTCCCTGTATCTTCATAATGAGGTTCATGTTACCTTTGCAAACTGACTCTGTTGTGTTATTGTTGTCTCTGTTATTGGGGATTTGACTACTAAATCTGCTGTTGTCAGTCGGAGAGGCCAGATCCCTATTATTATTGCTGGGTGGAACTAAGGGTGTGTTTGCTTTTTCTTTGATGTCTTTTGTATCACTGAGGGCTAGAGGGGAACTATCTTCCAGGTTAGACTGTTTCCACCATGAAGTGGATGTGAGGGTGGTCCTTCTAGGGAGGGCAGATCGGTCATATGGGGAGTGTCTGGGTGAAGAGGCATTGCTCTCAAAGAATACTGAACTCCTGCAGTTCTCTTGTCCCTCTGATGGTCCTTTACTTAGAAATGCCTGTTTGGAACTTGAAAGACTGGACTGGGTCCGATTCATTGTTTGACGCTGTTGGGAAAAGGGTGTGTCTTCCATGTCTTTGGGTGATGTTGAAAAGAAACGGGTTTCAAATGTGTTCCTTTCTCTTTGGTTGGGCGATGATGGGGAAAGGATAGGCCCACTTTGAGTTGTCCTATAAAAAATGGACGATGGAGAGAGAAGGGGCTTTGACCTCTCTATTCCATTGTTATTGAGAAAGGTTTGAGAAAGGTGTGTTGTGAATAATTTTCCATCTTGATCACTTGGCAAACTGCTCAGAAGCGAAGGATTTGTCTCAGAGAGGCTGGAGCCTGCATTGGAGTTCCTGCCATTTGAATGGACTCTTCTTAAGGACAGAAGCAGACTGCTGGTTGTTGGTTTTGAACTTAAATGTGAGATTCCTCCCTGATGACCTGTTTGTGGATTCATCCTTTGTTCATTTGGGTCAAGGGGGAGGGGTGACGTAGGAGACTGAGTTGTGGGTACATAACTGAAAGTATCTGTATCCATTTTTCTATTGTCCACCCTTCCAGAGTTTACATCCAAAGAAATCGTCTGAATCATTTTCCTCTTAGATTCATAGTTCAAGCTTGCAGGGCCACTCTTTGTTGACCAGCCCACTGTATTCCTCCTGGTACCCAGGAATGGCACCCTTAAGGGTGCTTGCGATCCATCTGTTACTGACCTGCCCACAGTCTCCTGAAAGGGTTCACGTGCACGGTTTGCTGCAGTGTTTGTCACATCTTGTAAACTGCCCTGGGCTTCCGAATCGCCTGTTCCCTCAGGTCTTTTGGTCCGTCGTAGTCGGGTACTCCAGTGTGGGGCAAGAACTGTTACCACAGTGGAAGACAACATGGTTCTAGTCGGGCTGGATATTTCCACAAGATCAATATGCTTTCTATGGTCTCTTATATCTTCTAACTCAACTGATCTGGTGTCAGTCCTTGGTTGGGGTCCACATGGAAGCATGTGCAAGCCATTACACTCATGTGGTCCAAACTTCCCATTTGAGAAACTTGGAGTTACACTCAAGTCTGTGGTGGACCCCAGTTCATTGCAAACATCTGTAATAACCTTTTCTTTCTCCTTGGCTGGAAACTGTGTTGTTTCAGACAGTGGAGAGTCACTGGCTGCTTTTATAGAGGTATCTGGTGACGTTTGTCCATCAACCTGTTAAGAGAAGAAGAATTACTGTACTGCAAGTGACCAGACATTGTATACCAATTTCATTTGCCAAATATCTGGAATCTGCTTTATAAATCAATGTTTTAAAATTAATTTTGATACCAAATCATATGACCACACATATCCTACACTAGATTTTTGTATTTTGTTTCTGCTCAGCTACGTCTGCTGTATCATTAAAAGCCCATCGCTTTTCACAAATCAACTTCACATCATATCAATGCAAATTACTTGCATGCTGAAGTTAAAATGCTTTCTGGTATTTACAGTGAATATGCAACAGTGCCTGCTATCTGAATTGAAAATTGCATGCTGGCAGAGGCGAGAGCTTTGCTACAGCTTCAGTTCCCATGGTGTAGCTATTTAAGAGATTCCGGCCTTGACAAACAGGTTATTTTGTAACACGTGAGATTCCCAAGGACACACACACACACACACACACACACACACACACACACACACACACACACACACGCATGCCCTGTCTCTTGTAATGCTTAAAATAATAATCAATCTGATGTTTTCAAGAGTACGCAATGTCACTTATTGTGTTGTGATGTTTCAAATATAATTACTTCATAAGGATTTCAAAGAATTTCAGTGGCTTTTAGGTCACTTTTAGCCCTAGATCCAGTAAGTACTGATTACTTGGTGATGTTTTGGATTTACCGGAATAGAAAGGTCCTGCAGTCTGACATTATTTTTGGATGGTATTCTACATTGTTATGATTCCAGCAGGAGCCCTAAAACATTATATAAATGTGCCTGTGTCCAATTCTTACCTGACTGCTGCTCTTCTCAGCCTCAGCCCTCTGTGTTTCAGTTGAACTGGCAGAACAGCAGAGTGAGAGAAGACATGAAAACCATTAGGGCATACTAGTTAGGATTACATCTGTCACTAAACTGTAGATTAGACATAATGGACAGAATGCAAAAAATGTTACGGTTAATCTACATATGAACACTGAGCGGCTGTTGGATTTCCTTATGATTTGCAAAAGCCAAGAGGTAATCAATCTATCACATGATTACATATTTGTTGCACATTGAAGGGTTACACAAATATGTTTTATTATCATTGCTGGATGTGTTACACACATCAAATATTAAAGCAGTAAGGGATATATAGGACAAAGCAGTTAATCATCTAATGACATGTATGTTTTGCTTTGCACTGTTGTACGAGTTTACAGAAAACATAATTTCAGTGATATTTAATCAGAGGTTAAAGTAGGCACTAAATGATTCAATATTGGTAAGACTTGAACTTCTGGGATCAATGACTTGTAAGCAAAACATAGAACACAAACGGCACCTCTTTCTAACCCTAGTAAGGTAAACAATGACCTAACTTTCATCATAACAAGCTGTCCTCTGAGCTGGACAAGAAACACTGCTCTGGTTGTGCAGCTGGCTGTGAGAGGAGTGCATAGTGACCGTCTACAGAATCCGACACAGAAAAGATATATTGTAAAAAATTTCAACGACCTCACACTTAGGAAGAAGAGTGTCGCCAAAATCACCTCACATATTTACGGTCTCCTGTTGGTTATAAAACAATACTGAAAAAAAAGGCTTTAGCCTAATTTGTGGGAATTTTCATTGGAGAAAAACTCAATAAATTCACTCTTACACAGCATAGTGCCACCAAATATTCAATAACCTCAGTCTAAAGGTGTGTTCACACCGGACCTGTTTTTTTTTTTTCACTGTTGCTCGGTTCGCCCCTTTGATATCGCTTCATCACTCAGTTGCAATCGCTCTTCAATGTGGCAGAAATCAACAGACTCGCTTTGATGACGTCATTGAAGTGATCAGGGAATTTCAGGGAGGGGAGGGGGGGTGCTTGACTGTCATGACATGTCAGCTTCATTAAAAGTATAACTGCAAATTAAAAGCAACAATAGATGTAAAAACACACATAGACAATACATCTGTGATCAGTTCCCTAATTTAATTTTAACAATTTTTTCAATCTTCTCCAATTTCTCGTTTTATTTTATGGAAGTGATCAATGTAAGTGCACTTGTCCTAGAGCCGCCACAACGGTTTTTATAATGCAAATAACTCTGTTTAGATAAAACCTACAAGCTTCTCTTCCTATGACTTTTACTAAAAATGTGTCTTGTATGTTTTCTGAAGCCTTTAAGTTACAAAAATGAAACACACTACACTGAGCATTTATACCTCCGACCGCGGCAGAGCGCTGCTGAAAGTTATACATTTTGATACATACAGGTAGGCTATATACATATTGCAAAACTCTGTAAAAGTACACCAAAGCATACATTTTCGTTTCCAAATATTTATTTGAAACAAAACCATTCATACGGTCAATAAAAAAACATTTTGTTAATAATAAAAAACGAATCTCAACAGTGACCACGCCAGCCAGCGGGACTGCGGCTGAACCACTTCCAATGTTTATCCACCATGGACAGCGCCAATGCATCTATCGCTGTAGCGCAGAGGCTCTGATGCCTGAGTCAGAGCATGTGAGCGGAGTTGGAGCTGCCTGGAGCAAGGAGCGGGTGGATTTTGTATGTATGTGCCAAAATAGGTAAAAAAAAAAATATCATAATTTCTTCGTCTTTTGTGTAATAAAATATTTGGAAAGGAAAATGTATGCTTTGGTGTACTTTTACAGAGTTTTGCAATAGCCTACCTGTATGTATCAAAATGTATAACTTTCAGCAGCGCTCTGCCGTGGTCGGAGGTATAAATGCTCAGTGTAGTGTGTTTCATTTTTGTAACTTAAAGGCTTCAAAAAACATACAAGACACATTTTTAGTAAAAGTCATAGAAAGAGAAGCTTGTAGGTTTTATCTAAACAGAGTTATTTGAATTATAAAAACAATCATGGCGGCTCTAGGACAAGTGCACTTACATTGATCACTTCCATAAAATAAAACGAGAAATTGGAGAAGATTGAAAAAAATTGTTAAAATAAAATTAGGGGACTGATCACAGATGTATTGTCTCTGTGTATTTTTACATCTATTGTTGCTTTTAATTTGCAGCTATACTTTTAATGAAGCTGACATGTCATGACAGTCAAGCACCCCCCTGGGATTCTGGCAGCCAATCAGCGTTGAGCTGCAAGCGACAGGACCCAGCGAAATACCGCTCCAGATGAGATTTCTCATCTCAAGAAAAAAGCGAAAAATCGCTCTGTAGCTGTAGCTAGGAGCCCGAGCGATTTTTCTCCAGAGCGAATATACGCTCAATCACCCGTTTGCATTGACTTTGTATGTAAACTCGTCGCTAGCGAAAAAAAAACCAGGTCCGGTGTGAACACACCTTTAGAAAACTTTTTTTTTATGTGCCCAATTTTCTGAATATTTTAAACTGTTCAGCTGTAAATTTAGTTGTAATTCACTTCTAATTTGAAACAAAACAAATTATGATTTTGAAAGTTTTGTCAGCATTCACAAATCATCCTGTGGCACTGACACCATTTAAATAAATCATTTGCTGTATATGATGCCAAGTGTCACTAATGTCTTCCTATACCATGCAGGTGTTAAAAGATTTAATGTGTGTGTTCAGGCATGCATAAAGCTGAGGGCGGGAGGAGAACAATATAAAGCGATGAAAGGTGGCGTAAGAATCTGCTTTCATTCCTCCCCTATGTGATGGACACTTGTTTGCACACTTGTTAGAGACTCATAAAATAAACACGAGGAAAGAATGCCTGCGTTAAATCTTGGCCTTTGATATGGTGCATTGTGCAATGTTTGATATTGTGTGGTCTCAATTTGTTAGGTTTGGTTTTACAGGGCAAGATTTCATTAGCAATAGCACCAACCAGCCAAGAACATTATGAACCTAATATTCAGGGTGTGAAGATAAACGGTTTCATAATTTTATTGCTGATATAATTAAAAGCAAAAGCTGATGAAATGTCTCAGAAAAAAAGAATCAATGGTGTGAGTATAATGTCTGCTTTTAAAATATCACATGTCAACTGGATACACCCTGTCGTCCTGTTCTCTATTGTAATGTTTTTGTGTGAAACACCTGAGGGATTAGATGTCTCACATTTGTCATAGGAATGCTGATCGACAGGACGGGCAGCATTCCTCTCCTCTGTCCCTCTCTTTCTCTCTCTGTTTCCCACTGTGTACCAAAGTCACACCCCATAAGCATTCATCAAAGCATTTACAAGACATTTCAATGTTGGACATGATAGCAAACGGATCACACACGGGCGTAGTGTGCACACTCAGTGCAACATGTCTATACAAGGTCATGTTGGATGGTATGAAAAGACTGCAGGCGACGAGCAGACGCTTAAGGTGGCGCGCTTCTCTTTTGAACCAATAAAGCCAGTTGGATCAATGACCGCCATTGGTAAGGCTGCTGTAATCTCTGGCACACACTGCGTCACACATAGGTGTGCAAATATGCTCAGGGGAAAATGTACAGCACATGCACATACAAACCTTCCACACTAATGCCAAAAGCAATTAATATGTCATAACAAATTACATCTCAAGAAAAAATGTCTAATCTACCTTGGGTTTAACCTAAAATGAACTCCACTCCTGACTTAAGGAAGTACTGTCATGCCAAACAATCAGCCCACAGGTAGCTGATATGGGATAAGGTAAACAAGGACGGTTAAGTCAGGCTTCCTAATTGGCCAGTAAGAGTGTCTTATCAATCTGATACAGGATATCAGGGCATGTAGTGTGAAGATACAATGCAAACAACTACTTACATACCGTCTCACGGACAGACACATGTAAACACAATCATGTCCGCCCTGCTCTTAGGGGTCACATAACTAGGTGCACTTCCTTGTTTATTCAAGGAGCTGACCGTTGCAGATAGCGTGTCACAATCTTAGGTATGCAGACAGGGTTCAGTGGTTCAGTTACTGTTTGACTAAATGTTAGAGAGGACTTGTGATTTCAGTGACTCTGAGCACAACTATTAACGCCAGACGTGCCTATTCCAGACCAACGCCCTATTGTTGGGAAAGTTCAGGGAAGGGCGAGATGACAAGCAGCTAATTAACACACATCATGTACATTACAAATGGGTACACACTTTTATTTGTCTTGGGTAAATCTAGTCCTTTCCTTGCTTACCTGTGCAGACAGGGGTCTGAACTCTTCTTGAGGCTTCGCTCTGGATTTCTGGAGAGTCTTAAGAGGAGGGAGGAGGTGAATCTGGGTCCAGTGTACTTCTGGGTCTGGACCTTTGATTCACCACAGTGAGCAGCAGCTTCCTTTGTTAGTCTCTCCGCTCTTAATATTAGTGCTGTAAGGTCAGAATGGGGGGGTTATGTTCTCACTGCAGTAAATTCAAAGGCTGAATAGATGAAGGTTACAGACCTCCTCGTTACCTTTGTGCGTTTCTTCCCGTCTGATGGCCAATGGGTGACACTGCTGTCCAGTTGGGGTGTCATCATCTTGATGTTTCTCCCGCTTGAACCTTTCACTGAATGTTTCATCCTGTTGGTCTCTAAAAACACCAGAGATATTAAAGGAATTAATTTATATTTATTGTAACGATCTATTAATCAATTAAGACTCCTGCAAAAATGCAAAGAGATTTGCTAGTTCCAGACCTTACACCGTCGGCCACAGTGCAGCACTACAATGGAGCAGCTGGGGCAGTAAGTGCCTGACTGAAGGGGTGAGATCTAGCTGGATTCATGGTCAACACAAGGAGTTCATTTTGTATTTTCAGCAGCTTCGTGCATATGCTCCATTGACACATAATCACCCTTAAATGCACAGAGCAATCAAACCCAAACCTTATGGTTACGATTTCTTGCCCAGCATCAAATTTGTGGCCTTACAGTCCCAATTGGTTCTGCAACTATTATTTTTATTATGCTGAATATTCTTAGACTTTCATCATTTTGCCTATAAAATACATAGAAAACAACAAAACAGCAGCCGCACACTCAAAAAATACACAGTTTATAAAATACATACAATAGTGAAAAACAGATTGCTAGAGCCCAGGGTGGCAGAACATTTAAATTAGTGCTAAAGGTTCATCGCAGGGAAACTTTAAAAGCTCTGCTTCCTTCATCTTATCAGTTCCACAGTGCTGGACAGATAAGCGCTGGTTATATAACAATCCCTCTCTGCTCACTCCACACTTTCTCTTACAACCAGAGCTAGCACGCCCACTCACACAGTCACTAAATCATGCACGTCATGCACATTTACTGCTGCAACCCAACGCTGAACCCACACTACTGTGCCAACCACTAAGCACGATGATGACACCAGAACAAAGATGATGTGGTTATCTAAATATGAATATATGTGTCACTGCAACCTTTGTTCGCTTAAAAATAAAATGTAATCACAGCACTAGTCTGTCACAGGGCAATCCAGGATCCATATCTCTCTGTTTAATCTGATTCAGCAGTAAGGGCACCAGGTCTTTATATAACCCGAGGTGCTTCGACTGATCATTAAATTGAGCCTTTTGATTTTACTTTCTTAATCTTAATAGCAAGGACCATCTCTACAGTACCTCTCCCTATCCACCTTGCCTTCAGGGGTGACTCATTGGCCTCATTAGAGCTTAATCTGTGCTCGGCTATTATAAAAACCTGACATGACATGAGAGAGAAGTGGGGAGAGATATCAAGAAAGAGGGAGGGAGATCTTCAATGCCAAGGTCAACACGCCTTCTTAGTGGATGGGACTGTGAGTGTTTAATCCTACCTCTCCCCGAGGCAACAGAAGAAATCATATCCTATCACACCAACATATGTGGGTGACTATGTTTGGATAGTTGAAGCAGGAAGTGCGTGTGATGATGGAGCTTTAGGAGCTGTTGTTTAGATAGCATTCCCAACTGTCCAAACTGAAAACGCATAGTTTACGCTACAATGATCGCAAACAGGCTTTTATTTCAAAAGCTTTCATCAGTACAACTCAAACTCTGAGGTCATGTGTTCACCTCTTGTTTTGTCCACCTGAGTATCTGATGTCTGTGATAGATGGGATGGCTTTAATGGGACTGTTTGACAATACGGCTGCGACTAAATGATTATTTTCAATGTTGCTGAATCTGTGGATTAATCTGCTAATCATTTTTGAGGTAAATGGCTCAGTCTAGTCAGGAAATAGTGAAAAATGAGCATCACAATTCTCTACAGCCCAAGTTGACGTCTTTAATTTGCTTGTTTATCACAACCAACAGTATAAAACCGAAAGATTTTCCATTAGTTACAGTAGAAAACTGAGAAAAGCAGCCATTTTTCTTTTTTCTAAAAATACGAATAAAAATAAAATCATTTAAACGATAAATCCTTCATCAAAATTGATGATGATAATGATGGCATTTAAATGCAGACAAAGCAGGTGGTGGATCTGTAGTTGCAGCTGTTAACACATACAAGACACACTGACCCAAAACAAGCAATGTTTATGTTCATTATTCCCTGACACTGAATAAACCAAAAGATAAATCCAACAATCAGGAAAATAATAAGCAGACTAACTGAAAATATGGACAATTTCTCCACAATTACAGCTAAAAAACTGTAATAAAAATCACAAAAGAAATCAAATCTGCTCATTCTCTGAATAGTTTTAGAAAACACTTGACAAAATGGTTGCTAAATTAGTCTAGTGAAACATCCTTTCTAGGACTGTTTTGGACTGGTTTCTAAATTTGAATGTTTTTGTAATTCATTTTTATGACTGCATAATATTGATGTTTTTATGTTTTTTATTAGGTGTTTTAGTGCAAAATGGGATGTTAGTAGCATATATGTTTCATCCCCTTTTCCAGCCTTCTTCCTAAAATCCACTTCAGGACCACAATGGAAATAAGCCATGTGACTTTATTGCAATATGCTCAAAGTTTTAGTAACTGTATACATATTTGTGTACTGTTTTTTAATCTATCAAATAAAATCAGATCAATCAACGCTTGTTATAAATGACTAAGGTTGGTTGGAAACTGATGCATGTTCTCTGTAGTTGCAATTTCATTTGAGTGATTTTCCTCCACAACATAAATATGAGAATATATTTAAACATTTTTCGGTCTGCATCTAGGGACTGCCCATAACTCGAAATCCCAAAGAGATTTCATTAAGCCTACCGTCACAGAAGACGAAGCAAACAGCAAACATTTTTACATTAGAGAACCAGTGAATTCTGCCATTACTGCTTGAATGATCATTCAGCTGCTCATCAAGCTCTCCAGGTAACTGCTCCTCCTATTAACTGCCTGCAGTACAAGTATTGCCAGTTGGGAATCACCGCATGAGCTGATGGTTAGAAAAACAATCAACAACAACAACTCTGATAATCCATTAATGATTTTTAGTCATTCTGTGTTTCCTGCTACGGATATGAGAGAATTCTCTGTTGTTTCATAACTTTAAATCGACTCGATTTTTTTAAAAATGCCAGCTTGGGATGTGGGAAAGTTTGTTGGCCATTTTTCCAACATTTTTTTAACATCATGATTATTTGGGAAAGAAAAGTAGGTAAATAAACATTGGTTGCAGTCCCACTGCCCTACTTTAAAGGGCTACTTTTTCCAAACGCTACTATTAGTGACCTTTAATCCTGTGTTGACAAATATACTCAAACTGCATCCTACAGTCAGGCTGCAGCCATGTAACGTGCATGTCACATGGACTGTTTGACCTGTGTCAGTTTGTTTTGATGGTTTGGTAGGATGACTAATTGCTATCTTTGTGAGGCTCTCCGGGCTGCACCATTATACCCGCTGTGTCTCAAACAAGTATGTTGGTGTATTCTTCACTGGAGGTCAACCTTGCTGTGGGTGTGTGCCCATATCTGCCAGCTAACACTTACATAACCACATGGATCCAGCCTCAACCAAAGTGTGGGTGTGCACTCAACACTGAGAATCACATGTAATGTTCCAACTACCGCAAATGATTTACACCCTAAACTTCTTTTTAAGACTCAACCAAAGACATCTCAATGATTAGCAATGACTACGTGAGTGGCAACAAAGGGCCAGGACAAAATGAGACTTGTTCTGTTTGCTGCCACACCTGCGGTGGCTGTCAGACATCCAGGAGAGCTGTTTATCTTTGAGCCTATAGATGGGGTATCATGGTGTAAGGATGGGTATTAGCAGGAGGATGTGCAGAGAGTCAACAGAGGCAGGGTTCTGGACATGCACAGACAGCAGCACTGTGTATCCATGGTAGTAACTCCATTAAACTGCAGGCCTGAATGTGCATGTGTGAGCTCGCCTGCTAAGCTACGGAAACTGACCTAAAATAGCTCATATCAACCAGAATATGCTGGTTTACAGTGTAAGGATTAGTGTTAGGTTAGTGTGTGACATGCACTAATACAAGTGCAGGATCAGATATGCATGTTAGATAGTCATAATGAATACATGCATGATACAAAATAGCTACAGCACTCAGTCCAGAATCTGCTTGGATATTTCTTATATTGAACCTCTGGAAGTTAACTTGTTTCCAGATGCGTCACGTTGCAGGAATTAAAAAAAAAGACCATCTCACACCAAACCTTGTTCAAAAATCTCTCAACTTGCGTAAATCAAGACCAAAGAAACTCAAGTTTACAACAAATCCTAAGCAGCCACTTTTCTACGGGATACCTATATTAACTCAAAACAACATATAAAACATATTTTAGTCAAAATTCGACTTTCTCCACGCGTCATTCCCGCCTTCTCCTGCTGTCAAATTCAGTATGGTGGGCAGTGTCGAGCGGTGACTCACGTGTATAACGTTAAATTAATGGAAAAGCTTAAAGCCGAATTGACTATAATAAAGTCACGAATCGTGTCACGTTTTGGTTTGACTGTAAGAGACGTATATATTCCCAGACACGCGTTTAAACATTAAATATACAAATTTATAAACGCAGTTCGGCGTGGGTTTCTCCCCCTTCAAGAGAAAAGCTCGCACGGCAGCTGAAAAGTCTCCAGCGAGCAATCGGAGATACAAAAAGTGCGCAGCAACATTTTAAGGGTTTATAACAAGCATAATAAATTCAGTATTATAACTAACTCGTTGTTAAAATGTCCTTTAAAGAGGTTTTCACCTACCTTGCGGTTGTAGTCCGTGTAGCTCGTGCAGTCCTGCACAGAGGCGTAGCTGTCTCTCCTCCTACAACGATGAGCTCCAACTCTCCTGCGTCACTTGTTGACATCCTATTTTAACCGGTTCAGTAAGCCTTCATTATTCATGCTGACAAGACAGTGCATCTTAAAAATGTCAGGGGGAATTCGCGGCTACTGACCTGAGAACAGGCAGTTACCATGAATGTCACCGTGGAGGTGAAAGTTCAACACCTCCTGTCTGACAGGTGAGCGTGAGCGTGACAAGCGCGACAATACAGTAACCACAGGCTGCGTCCCTTTTCACAAATGTTCCCCCCTCGGTCATTTCCTTCTCAGGACACTTCAGCTGCTACAACCTTAGTGTGATTCTGCATTGGCCAGAACAAATGTGTTGTGGTGATCATCTCTCTCTCTCTCCTTTTTTAAAGACAAACTCTCAAAGCTTGTAATCTGCTTAAAATAGCTATTTCCCTCCATATTATAAACAGACATGTATGTACCTGTGTTTGCTGATTTGTTTGTGCAAAACATTCTCTAATAGGTCTGACAAGAAAAACACAACATGTCTGAGGTCATGATGTCATGGCCAGTAGCCTAACGAGGCCCCCCAGCATCCTCTTATATTTATTTTATTTATCTATTTATTTATTTTGAGTTTAAGGGGCACGGTGGTGCAGTGGTTAGCGTTGTCGTCTCACAGCAACACTGTTCTTGGTTTGAACCCGGGGTGGGGGAGCCCTTCTGTGTGGAGTTTGCATGTACTCTCCGTGTCAGCGTGGGTTTTCTCCAGGTACTCCAGCTTCCTCCCACAGTCCAAAGACATGCAGGTTAATTGGTGACTTTAATGCCCGTAGGTGTGAATGTGAGTGTGAATGGTTGTATGTCTCTATGTGTCAGCCCTGTGATAGTCTGGTGACATGTCCAGGGTGTACCCCGTCTCTCGCCCAGTGTCAGCTGGGATAGGCTCCAGCACACCCGCTACCCCTAAGAGGATAAGTGGTTATGAAAGAATGAATACTTGTTTTGGTGACGTTGCTTCATTGTGCTGCTTCATTGTGTTGCTTCATTGTGCTGACAGTTATGTTGTCACAATTCATGAGTGAATTACATGGAAAGTCAATGTAAAGACGCGATTACATGAGAATTCCCACTGGGCTGTGTGATGGATGCGATGCATGGCATGAATGAAGCAAATAGAGTAATTTTGCGTCATATGCTTATTCACTCTGAACTTCAGCGACCAATTCGCACCATGATAGCCAATCAGCATTGAGTTCCTCCGGGGACATATGACACTGAGGATGTACCAGCAGATGTTCATTCAGCGATTTAGCAATTTCATGTTTATATGATGTGAGATATTCTCACGTATGAAGCAAGTCAACCAAAAAATTCTAGCGCTCAAACTCGTGTGAGTAATGCAACGTAAAAACTTGCATCACCTTTGGTTTGAACACAGTGTTACACCTAGTGTATGACAATTACAGGTAGCTAGCAGACTGTCCTAACTCAAGGTGTCCAGTGATGTCCAAAATTTGACAATGTGAGCGGCCATCAGGGTCCCTTTTCCAAAAATTCTGATATATGCCTAGCTTGCTTCTCCAGATCCCAGCCAACATTTGTATTTGAGGCCCATGTGGGTTGTATATAGATGGAAAAATGGGCCCTATAGTGGATTGTCATCAGGTTCACCACTGACCCTATGCCAATTGCCCACATGGGTGGGTTTCCAGATAAGGTGCCCATTTTGGGCCCATACCCACTTCGTACCCAGGTAGCCCTACCACAACCGATGTGGGGCCCACTTGATTAAACCAAACCATGTGGGCAAGTGGCATGGAGCCATTATGGAACCCATGGACAATCCCATATAGGACCCATTTTTTTAACCCATCTACCACCCACATGGGCCCCACATACAGATGTTGGCTGGGATGGTGCACCCCTGGTCATGACCTCCCTAATACTCATCAGCTACACTTGGCATCACACACTCATCCTAATCTCAAAACAAATAAAATCAAATATGGCCTCAGGTGCTCTCAGATACTTTCAAACAACTGATTCCAGCAATCCCTTGGACCTCAACCCTTATAATCAGTGGTGCACAAAATGTTTTTCATTGTTTTTGTCCTGTATGCCATCCAAAGAGGGAGTACACCTATATAGGAATATGTTTTCAGCTAACCTGATTATTTACAAGTGTTGAGAGAGGTTTCCCTGTATTTGTTACTGCTTTTATTTGATTGTTGACAAGTGGTGCGTAGTTCCAGGGAGCTCTGTTTGTGCTCCTTTGAGTTGAGATTACGTGACTATAGTTTTATCTTTGCTTTACAAAACATGCTGGAGGATGTTTTATGTCCGTCAGACATCCACACCCTCCATCGCCTGCCAGAAACTCGACAGCTTTGGCTCAGTGTTTGCAGGAAGAACAGTGCCCTCTTCCTGTTCTGACAGACTGTTACTTTCTAGGAACACTTTCCCTCTTCAACTTTTCTGCAAGGACGCTTTGTTGGTGCTAAAAAAATCAAGGTGAAAATACCACATAATCACATAGGTTTTGAGGTCATATAGGTTTTGGACATTAAGTTACTTAACAGGGCTGTGGAGGGGAAACAGAGCTGAGGGAGGAACATTTTGGAGTGGGACCCAGCCTTAAAACAATTTCCTGTGTTGGTACAATGCTGTTGTGTACTATCCAGTAAAAAAGAGTCTCAGTGGCACTGGATGGAAATGTAAGCTGTGTAATAGTTTACAGTACAAATCAACAAGGCCACAGTGCAAAGGAACAATAAATAAAACTGAGAAATCATAATCTAAATAATCCAAAATCCACTTAGTAAACAATATGAAGTTTGGTAGTTGTGACATGTGACATCAGATTCAGAGACTTTTCCACACAGACTATAGAAGAGGTTCACATTTTTTCCAAGTCCATCCAACCCTGTCATGAGTCTTCACCAGTTTTAATCAAATCCAGTGGATATCTTCCAAAGTTTCTGTTTTGTACAAAACTCCCTCTTTGTGTTTCCCTGAACAGTGTGTCCTTGTTGAGCTGTAGAGGAGGGATAGGAACACAAAGAGGGAATTCTGTAGTGAAAAGACCGTCACTGTGGAAGATATCCACTTGATTTGTCCATCTCACACTCCTAAAGCTCTGATAAACTTTGAAATATATATTTTTGTGTAGAATAAGGACCATGGGCTGTGTTCCCCAGCAGTCTCTTCCATTTGAAGCATGTTAGGAGGGGAAATCTTTTTTTTTTTTTGGTAGCAACTTTTTTTTATTGTTTTAACATGGGTAACAATCAACAAACACAATAATACACAACGATCACCGCAACCTCCTCCTTAATTTGGCCTGAGTAGATTAACTAAAGAAGAAAATATCATGAATAAAATAAAATAAAATAAAATAAAATAAAATAAAATAAAATAAAATTAAAATGATCAAATTGCCACAATTTATTGTTGTTGTTGTGACTTTCTAAATTGTAACGATTTGCACAGCACATACGTTGGTCAACTTGGATTGTGAAATGCTATATAAATAAACTCAATTTGATTTTAAGACAGTCTTGAAAAACAATGAACCCATCCCTTGACAAATGGACTCACCTGGAATCAAAATACACCTACCCTATGAGGCTATTAATAACCAACATCCTAAATTATTAATTATTAATTACTCTGACTTTCTTATACAGGTCTGAGCCTCTTTCTTTTTAAGCTTCATACTGCTGCAACTCTTTTAAAATGCTGTATCTTACTTGATTTTACAATTGTATGGTTTTCTGACTTTTTATAATTTATTTCATCTTATGATTTTTAAAAAAATGATTTTATGATTTATGGTTTTGCTTTTCAGTTAATCCTTGTTTAACTGAATTAGCTTGTCTGTTTTATGTTTTATGTCTAGTTTATGTGATGCACTCAGTGATCATAATGCCCTTATATGTGCTGCATTTCTTGTATGAAAGGTGCTATATAATTAAGTTTATTAAACTGTTTGTGTCAAATACAGATATTTTTACATTACTATCAGACTGGTACCAACAAAAGAGAGGACTTAGTAGCAGGACTCAAAAACACAAGGAATTTAATGAAGGTTGGTGAACAGAAAAACAGCCCAAAAAGTTCACAAGGAACAAATGGCTCCAAACTACAGAGACGAACTGGCACAGACAAAGGGCAGCAGGTGGACGAAATACACAAGGGAGGAGGGGTAGTGAGGGACAGGTGAGACCAATTGGGGCGGGCAGGTAATCACACAGGAGGGAAACACACATGCAGGAAGTGAGGTGCCTGAAGCCAATGACCAGAGGGTAAGTGTCAAACTAAAACAGCAAACACTAACAACACTGAAAACAAGGAAACATGACCTTGGCGCTGACTTCAGGGTGTTGCAATCGTTACAAGTTTTCTTTTTTTCATTGGCAAAACATTGGCTTGATAACTTGATCAACCATAATTAAGGTGGATAACGAGACGTCTGCAGCTTCAGATGAAACCCAGAGTTTTTATTCAAATTTGGTTCAGATCATCTGAGCTGTGGCAGTGATGTTGGGCCTCCTGAAGGCTTTAATCAGTTTCTGTGCTGACTCCAGGCAGACTGGGCCTGACTGTTGTCTGGTGCAGTTCAAAAGGAAACCAGAGGAGGTCAGTGTTGCTTCACAGAAAAAACCGCGACCAGCAGCGGTTCAGTGGTGCAGCCTGATGGATTAATTTTGATCCAGATGATCATGGATCATAAACATAATAATCATCATCATCATGTATTATGTTTGATTGCGTTATAATTTACGATGAAATGGTTGGAAGCAAGCAGTGACATGATAACGTCATTAATTTTAGTTGTGCATGTGTTCATAATAGAAACAATAAAATAAGACAGAAAATAATGTTATTTATTTAAACTTTATTTGTATGCTGGTGGATTCCTGTTGGGTCTACTGCATGCACCAGGCACAGTTTCCCATCTCACATTTAAAGGTCTCCAGTGAGAGGGATTCAGTGTGCGCAGTTACTCAGTGAACATAATCCAGTGTCAGTGCTGTGGAGGAACCCTGTCATCCTCCTCCCCCTCTCCGCCTCCCCCCTCCTCCCACAGAGGATGCAGGGCAGTGTGAGTGGTCCTGAGCTCTGACTCCTGACTGCACAGACAAGTGGCCGCGATCATCAGGAGGACAGTCTGAGATCACTCTCGGCTCTGGGATCACATTTCTTTTGTTTTGCTCTGTTTTTCCCTG